TGTCTCCAAAAACCAAAAAAAAAAAAAAGAAAAAAAGAAAGAAAAGGAAACTAAGGAGACAAAAATGACTGTGCTTGGAATCTTGTAAGCCTCTGCTACCCTATACCCATGCTGTCTCTTCTACTCTTCCCCTTGACATTTTTGAATGATACAATCGTGATCATGCTTTGCCATCCATAAATTTTAAATGAAAAGAAAATGAGATCTGGAAAGTAGTTGACTGGGCTTTCCAAAGAAGAAACTTGTTAAATAGCTGGATGGCTGGCTAAAGGTTTTTTTCTTCTTCTTTTTTCTTCTTTTAATGCATTACTTTTTATCGCTGCCTTTTTACTTTAGTAGAAAGGTTTGCTTCAGTAGCTTTTATTATATTGAGCAGTATATTCTAAGAATCAATGTACATGAAACACAGTATGTACATTTCCTTTTTCTCACATCCAATTTATGCAGCAAATGTTTCTTGAGCAATAATTCAGTGGGCAACTACCTATAGGTGGAACTGGACATGCAGCCTAAGACATGGCTTCCATCCCCAGAAGTTTATAATTTAAATACATAAAAAGTTAAGAGTAAGACATTTAAATGGTGAGTTAACTACAGCAAGGGAAAGATATCTGATAGATATTATCATTGTGAGTACTAATGAGACTCTGAAGAAGAAAGAGCTACTGCATAGTGGCTACTCCATCTTTTCCTAGAAGCTTGACCGGGTGGGGCTGAGCTTAGACCCTCTCAACAGAGGAATAAGCAGTGCTGTTTAGCTGCTGCTAACATTTGCTACTGGCAGGATCCCCTCCTGAACTCCTCCATTAGAATGTGTTTGGGCCTTTTTTTTTCCTCCTGTGTCTGACTTTGAATCTGTTTGTTGCCAAGAGAACTGTTTTTCTGTGTTGCTTCACTGATGCAGCATTGACCACCAGACCTCTTTCATAGTAAGAGTGACGGGCTATTTTCCAGGTCCAAGAATACCGAGAGGCCCTGGAGGGAATATTAATCAGAGGCCAAAATGGGATCCACTTGGTGCCGGAACTCTATGCTGTCCCACCTGACAAGGTAACCAGGCGGCGCGGGCCCTTTGTGCTGTTTGTGTAGAACGGAGTGAATTGGTGCTTGGCCTTCGGGATTCTTCATCCCCTTCTAGGCCCTATGACCACTTTTTCTGCAGAAGTGCTTTCTAAAGTCTTATACAGTGTTCCCATGCATCATAAGAAGTTAGGGCTTTGGGGAATCGTGTAGAGCATGCTTCTTGGGGCAGTTGAAGCCCTTTGAAGCATACCTACCCCTTCCCCAACCTCAAGCAGAAAGAGTGCTACAGAGCACAAAACGCTATTGTGAACCCTTTTCCTATACAGTTCCGAAGAAGCCTGGTGTACAGGGATAGTTGAGAATCTCTTCCTTTGATTCAAGTGGATCCCAAGCTAGAGCTTGAGTAATCATCAGTAAAAAGCCATTGTATACCAGGAAGGGAAGACTGTCCGGTTCCAAGCAGATGCTCAAAGATAGTCTTGTTCTACCTAGTTTCCTAGATTGGGGTCATGCTGGACCCCATATCTTGGGGACAGAATTTCCCTGTAAACATTTCATGTTTAGAAGAAAATTCTCTGTTCAAGGCTGTTTGTTCTCCCAATGCTCTTGATGCTTCACAGCCTTCATCATTGCACTTGTGGGAGGAAAGGGCCTTCAGAGAGCCAAACTGACAGGGCCTGAAGGAGATCGTGACCAGCAGAAGCCTCACTCTGCAGATTCAGCTGTGGAGCCTGCTGGGGATGTTTTCTAGGTGTTATAAACCTAGATCTCCTGCAGATGTATCCCTTTTTGTTTGTGGACATGTGGATACAGTGGGACTGACGGTGGGGGCCGCGTCACTTTCCAGCAATTACACATTCATAGCTCGTGTTCAGGTTGCTCCATTTCCAGTGCTGAGGCATTTGGCAAAACAGACTTAGCAGTGGGAGGTAATTTGGAACCTAGAAGCAGAATAATGGAAAATAAATGACCTCAGAAATATGTTATTGATTTTATGATACAGAATAACCGTCCTTTTTCTACCAAAAGGCATGAAATGTTAGGTGTTACAAGCTGCACTTTGCTTTCTGATGAACAGTGCTGGATGTGCATTGTAAAAAGCTACTCAGCAACTCACTCTCTTCTAGACTGCATTCTAGCCTTCAATTTCTACTTATCATTACAACATCCTGCTTTATTCAGTGATTTACACTTCTGTGCTAGGCACCAATCTTGGACACTGTTTTACCTTGACCGTATTTTATGTTGGCTGCTTGCTGATGCCGGCTAGAAAGGTTTCTCAGTCACATCATTAACATGTGGAGACCACTGGGAAGGATTCCTACAGACAGGGTCACCAAAGGCCCTTAGGGCACCTTTGTACAAATTAGAAACATTCAGCTTGGATTTCAGCCTCACTCTTCCTTATGTGGTGCATGTGCAGGGTACTGCCATGCATAGGGCCCTCCGTTGGGCACCTGGGGACTAATGAAAATACTCAGAAAACATGTAATGAGCAGCTGCTCCATGCCAGGTGCTAGGCCAGGGACTGAGGAACAAAAGTGGTTCCCACCCCAGCTCTGTCTCCATGACCATGCAGGCCAGTGGGGGCCAGAGGAGCTAGGCCATGAGGTGGAAGCAGCCACTGGAGTGGCAGTGGCAGTGGAAAAGGCAGTAGCAAAGATGTATGCATGAGGTTGGGAAGGGACCCAGCGGAGAGAAGGTGAAGAAGGCACCTGCATGGGAAGCCAGGAGCAGGCCATGGTTGGGAGGAGGGCTGAGCGAGGCTATCTTTTGACCTGGACACTTGCTTTGCTTTCTGTTCTTTGCATCAGATATTTCTCATTCTAGATATTTTCAGTCTTTCTTAACACTGCTTAGGTTTCAAATAGCTTTAGTGTGCTATCTGATTGTGAAGTAGTCCTGTACTCTATATAACACCCAGGATTGTATAGATAGAAGAAAGTATTTATCTCTATTCCCACTACCCAAAGACAACCACTATGACATTTTAGAGAATCTCCTTCCACATTATTATCCTATCTGATTACTCGTGACATTTAGTTCTATTCAGTTTATGTACTTAAGGTTTTCTAAAAATGTTTATTACTACTGAAAAAATTTTAAATTAAGTTTTACTAACTGTATTAATAATATCACTGATTAATCCACAAAGAATGACTGTCCTCATGGTATGATTTTCCCTTCGGTGGAAGATAACTGTTTCCTGTTTCCACCGATTGACCTATGTTTTCTGGAAGAAAAAATGGTCAGTAATGTGACCCCAAACAATATTACAATGACTAAAACCTCTAAGGGCAGCATAGAGTTTAGAAGGGAGAAAGCTGTAGACTAGCTAGCAATGTACAGCCAGTACTGTCCATCAGAAAAAACACAGAAGCTGGTAAAAATTGTAGATTGTCTCTTAGCTCTGTTGGTGGTTTCTCTTGCACTACAAAAGCTTTTTAATACAATGGGATCCCAGTTGTTGATTCTTTGTGCAAATTCTTGTGCTGCTGAGGATTTGTTCATAAAGTCTTTTCCTATACCAGTGTCTTCAAGAGTTCTACCTAATTTATTTTCCAGTAAGTTTAGTGTTTTTGTTTTGATATTTAGATCTTTAATCCACTTGGATTTTAGTTTCTAGAATATATAAAGAAGTCCAAAAAATCAGGCCCCTTCAAATGTAAAGATCCAACTCAAAAATGGGCATCTAAAATGAACAGACATTTCTCAGACAAAGAAGTAAAAGCAGCAAATAAATATATGAAAAAATGTTCCACATCACTGGTCATTTGAGAGATGCAGATGAAAACAACAATGAGATTCCACCTCACCCCACAAAGAATGGCTGCTATCATTAAATTAACCAATAACAAATGCTGGTGGGGTTGTGGGGAGAAAGGAACCCTTCTCCATTGTTGGTGGGAGTGCAGACTGGTGCAACCACTATGGAAATCAATATGGAGATACCTCAAAGAGCTGGGACTAGAGGTTCCATTTGACCCAGCCATAGCTCTGCTGGGTATCTTTCCAAAAGAATTAAAAGAATCATATCACAGTGATATAGGCACACACATATTTATAACGGCACAGTTTGTAATAGCGAAAGCTTGGAAACAACCCAAATGCCCACCAACTGGAGACTGGAGAAAGAAGATGTGGTTTTTCTATACAATGGAGTACTACTCAGCCATAAAGAATGAGAAACTGGAGTCATTTATAGGAAAATGGATGCACATTGAAGCTATACTCTTAAGTGAAATAAATAGGACACACTTAAGTAAATACAAAATAGTTTCTCTGGTGTGAAAAACTAAAAGTGTAAGTAAGGTTCAAATGGTACAATTGATAGTGCGAAACAGGAAGAAAATGGCTAAAGGGGAAGGGTAAGTGGGAAGGGGAGGGGAAAGGAAATAAGGGAAAAGAAATAATGTGAAAAAAATTAAAAATGGAAACAAAGTAAATAGGGAAGGATGAAGGGGTTGAAGGGAGGGCAGGGCTATGGGGAAAAAATGAGAACCAAGATACATCATGTAAAGGTACAAGATCCCAATGATACATGTAACTGTACTGTTTGCTTTAAATGTACCAAGAAACTTAATGGGGGGTGGCAGAAAAGAAAGAACAGAGAAGCTTTGTTTTGAGGAGACAAAAGCCCCAGTGGATTCTGATTTCTTAGTTCCTGATGGAGGGTCTGTAGTCTACTAAGGAGCAAGATTGTTTTTCCTCAAGAAATAGTGCCACCTTCTGGTAATTTCCTTGCACAAGCACACAGTTTATAAACCCCTAGGAAGGGAGGGCCTGAGAGAACAACCAGACTTGACATCTAGCCATCCATTGTGTGGCTATAGGCTGCTGGTTTTGACCATCTTACCAATAATGTAGCGAGATGTTAGCATGAGTCCTGGAGCTTCTGTATACCTAGAGCTGTGCATGAAGGAAGCAAGTCAGGCCTCCGGTGCCTATTGTCCAAGTATGCTTGGGAAGAGCACTGGCCTGGGACCAGGACTAGATTGGCCATCTCTCTGTCACTTATATGGCCCCAAGAGAGGGCCTTTTCACCTTCTGGGTCCCACATCCTAGCACTTGCACAAAATTGGTCTGGAGGATGAGTACCATTCTGTAAATTCACAGTGCACTCCCCACTATAAAGCATCTCTGGCCTTTTTACCCACTTACATTCTGACTTTGGGCTTTGCTCTCTCTGCCAGGTGGATGAAGAATACAAAAATCCTCACACAGTGGACAGAGTTCCTCTAGGGAAGCTTCCCCATCTGTGGGGCCAGTCCCTGTACATCCTCAGCTCACTGTTGGCAGAGGTAGGAGCTTTGTGGCTTCACAGGTCGGCAGTCATCTCATCGGAGGTACAGGGAGCCCTGAAAGAGCATCGGGGCTCTCTGTCCAGAAGGGTAGTGAATGTCTTTTGCATCTTCATGCCTTTGAGTTCAGCTGGGCTGTGTTAGCTCCCCAGCTTGTTTCCTGACCTTGTATATCCATATTTATGTTAAGCTAGTTCAGGCCAACTGCAAGTCAACATTCCCTGTCCGCCTCTGGCTGGTATTTCTGATCTGAGGCTAGAACCTATTTCAGTCGGTGGTCAGTAGGAGCTGGAAGCTTCTCAGGCAGGATTAGCATGTCAGATCCTGGAAGATACAGGCTTTGGGAAACTACTAAATGGACAGAACCACCCCACCCCCTGCCCCAGCTGTAGGCACAGGAAGCAGGAGGACTCTTCAGAACTCTACAGGAAGCCACTGGCCTGACTCTGGTGAATTTTGTCAGCTGCTCCCTCAGACCACTCCCAACAAGTCCCACAGAAAATCTGCTACCTCTTGACCTATTTCCTCTTGCTAAGCCTTAACTTACCCCTAGGCTTCATTGAAAAATGCTTTTGAGCCCTCAGAATGAAACCTCCACCCTTCCTTAGTGTGGATGACTTTATTAAAATGCATTCATTCTTCCCAGTGGATCCTGCTTAGCGAAGCATTCTGGGCCCTTGGAGGAAGGGTATGGGAGTCCAGGGGAGAGAATGAGGGACTCCCAGCCTCCAAAGTTTGCCCAGCCCTGTGTGTTCCACCACCTCTAGAAATGGGAGCAGGAGCAGCGAGTCAGAATGCCACTGGGGCTGGGTGTAGTGGCACATACCTGTAATCCCAGCTCCTTGGGAGGCTGAGGCAGGAGGCTTGCAAGTTCAGGCTAGCCTGGGTAACTTAGCAAGTCCCTGTCTCAAAATCAAACAGTTTTTAAAAGGGCTGGGTTTGTAGCCAGTGGTAGAGTACCCCTGGGTTTAATCCGCTGGGTTCCTGGTGATTGTAGCACAGTGGAAGCAGCCAGTGGGAGCTATTGCTGCTGAAGGTGGAACAATGGTTCCATGGGTATGTCCGGCCTGCCAAGTTTCGTGTTCATAGCCTTGGGAGTAAGGATTGTATTTTACACTTCTGTCTTCATTAGTATGGAAAACACATACATCTCCTTTGGAAAGCCAGCCCTGTCTCTGTCTAGCTCTATGACTTAGGTTCCTTCACCTCTTTGGCCTTGGTTTCCTCATCTGTAAAGTGCAAATCTTGGACTTGGTTATCTCTACAGTACCGTCCAGCTCAGATTTCTGTATCAGTGAGATGGGAAATAACTTACTCTGCTCCACTGCTTCCTCCTCTCCCCTGTAAAGGTGTTCCCGTGTCCCAGAAGCAGAGCTCTCAGAGCACCTCAATCCCCTCTTGGAGCTTAGGCAATTTCTAGAAGGTACAAGAAGAGGCATATTCAAAAAGCACACTTGCCAAAGGTGGAGGGACTGTTGTGGTTCAAGCAGCCCTGGGCCAACTCTTTACTCTGCCACTTCCCTCAGGCACCTTTACCTTGGTTTCCCCACCTGTAAAATGGTGATGAAGGTAGAGCCTACCTGTTAGGAGGCATAAATATGACACTGCCCATGCAGGGACTCAGGAGATATCGGCTATCATTCTTTTCACTCACAAAAGACGGGGTGGTATTAGCCCTGCAGAGCCAGGTGCCCAGCATGCTATCGTATTTTCCCTTATCAGTAGCAAACTCTGTTTCAGAGAAAGTAAGAAATTCACTCAAAAGCATAAACAATTCTGAGTGCTTCGAACCCCAAATTTTGTTACTGTCAATTTTAGGTGCAAAGTGAAATTTTAGTTAATCAATATTTCATAATGTTAACGCTCCTCTCTTCGTAGGGATTCCTTGCCACTGGTGAAATCGATCCCTTAAACAGAAGATTTTCTACGTCTGTCAAACCTGATGTTGTAGTACAAGGTTTGTGAGCATGTTTTCTATTCATCTCTAATTTGTAAAACCAATGCCATTTGTGTTCATTGAAATTGTTCCTTAGTCTCTTAATGTAAAGAAGTCATATGTGCTTCAGCATATAGTTTTACAAGATACCGTGTATAACTCAGTCACTCAGTGGTATTCTTCCCAACCACAAATTTACTTTCTACAAAGCAATTATTTTCTTTCTTTGTCTGTGTCTGTGTGTGTGTGTGTGTGTGTGTGTGTGTACCAGGGATTGAACTCCAGACCTTGTACTTGCGAAGCAGGTGGTGGAACCACTGAGCTGAATCCCCAGCTCAAGGCAATTATTTTCTTAAATCTAAACCTTGATTCTGACTGGGGCACATGAAGTTCTTTGAGCATCATTTTTCAGAACTGTTACTCTTTGAGAAGAGCCTGTTGAGAACTCAGAACCCAAGTGAAGTCATCCATTCCTCCCTTGGAATTCTAACTCTTGCCATCTGCCACATGCCGTCTGCCCTTGTCTCCTCTCATTCTCCAGTGAGCTCCTCTTTCAAATGGGTAGGAGGCCAGCCTGTGCTGCCACTGCCAAGTGACTCCACCATGCTTGGAGCTGTTAGGACTCTTGCCCTTGCCCTAGTGGACTTGGGAGGAACAGAAATTGCAGTGCAGGAAGTTTGTGGTGCAGGGCCAGCTGGTGGTGTGTGCTCAGCACATTGGTCCCTCCTCCTGCCTTCCCCTTCTGGAGGATCTCCGGGCAGCTTCCATACATGCTGCATGCCTCACAGAACACTTATGTACCATCAAATGTCATGGCCCATTGTGCACACACTTTATTGTCCCTAAATTAGTCTGCCTGCTTCTTAAGTACAAGGTCCATGTCATTGTTGTAGCTTCTACACTGATTAGCACAAACACACCTATGTTGAAAACAATGAGTGAAGAAATGAAAAGCGTTGTTCTCTGTAGCCACTGCACCTGTATGTGGTGTCGTGACCTGAGCTGTGGGTATTCTACCCAATCAATACTGTGTTAGAACCAATGCGGAACACACAAAACCTTTACAACATTCTGACTGTGGAAATTTGCTGAAAATTATGGTTATCATCTCCACCCTACACATGAGGCTTAGCGGCTAACCTACCTACTCAAGGACTCAGCCGACAGCCATAAGTGTGAGCCCACTTGGGACTTTGAGATAAGACTGCCTAAGCTGCATTCCATGATACTTACCCAGAACTTGTTTTGCTAATTACTCCTTTAAGTCTACAAAAGTGCTTTTCCAACTGCAGGCCAGGACAGGTTGATGGGGCTTGACTAGCATTTTTTTAATGTAATAGAATGAGTGAAAATGATCAGAAGGCCAGCATGGTAGCCCAGCAGTACTAGTAGAGCAAGTGTGCCTCAGCTGATCCCTGATGTGGCCCCAAGTAAAGGTGTTCCTCTCCCAAGGGCACTTGGGCACTTAGAGTTACCTGCCTGCTGGAGAGCCAAGTGCCCAGCCTCATCCACCCAGGGTGGGGCCCTGTGCTGTGGTTGTGCATGGGCCAGACTGGTCCACCCGCACCAGCATCTTTGCAGGTAGGGTCACTTTCTGTGGAGGGAGAGATGTTCCCTCCCTCGCATGCTTTCAGAGTGTCCCCTGTGGTAAGGCTGGGGATTTAGCTTGGTGGTTCCACTGCCTGCCTCACAAATGCAAGGTCCTGAGTTCAATCTCCAGTACCAAAAAATAAAAATAAAGTGTCCTCTGTGAGCAACTACATTGCTCTTCTTTTCACTGCCCTTTGGAAGCAGGGCCACAAGCTTCTCCTGGTATCCCCTGAGGAAGATGTTTCAGTCCTGAGCTTATGTGAAAATAACAAAAGATTTAGAATAAATACAGACCCAGAAGGAGGCAAGACATTATTTGAGATGAGCTAAGTTGGAGTGAAATCTATTGAAGACAATTTCTAGAAGTCTCTTAGGCCCTCTTAGACCCACCATGCATCATGGTGTTAAGGAGTGGCAAGGACGGAGAGAACCAGAAAGAGCAGCAGGACCATTACCACCATTTCCAAAGCAACCAATGTGTGGAGAGCACACTACCATGCCTATCATTGGGCAGAAAAGGAAAAGAGACAAGTTATGTACGTCGGTATGCGGACACACAAGCCATAATCAATCTGATACTAATTTTCTGCTCTTGTTCACAGTCACTGTTTTGGCAGAAAACAATCACATTAAGGAGCTGTTGAAGAAACACGGAATAAACGTCCAGAGCATCGCTGACATTCATCCAATTCGGGTCCAGCCAGGCCGGATTCTTAGTCACTTATATGCCAAACTTGGTAGGTGGGGGGAAATAGCAGGGCTTGTTTGGCAAAGGGCATCTTGGGGTTCTATAGAGAGTCAGGCCTGAGGAAGACTGCCGTGATGTATGTAAGTTCTAAAGAATGGGGCAAAGCTAGCACTAAGCAGGTGGTTGCACTGTTTAAATGTGAAGAATACAAAAACAAGCATCCTGGGGGCGTACCTCTTCAGCCCCAGCAGCTGGCACCACAGGACCCCCAGACCAGTCAGCTCATCTGTTGTGAATGAGGAACCGTCTGTGAAAATCCACAATGGAAAGAGCCATTGGTGTCCTGGTGGCACTTCTAACTTATGTGGTATCAGAAAATTCTCATTTACCCATTGAAATGGGAGGGGGCTCTGTTTTCTAGGATCTTTTAGTTTTATGGGTGGATATTAAATAAATCAAAAGTAAATGTTAAAAAACTCCTTTTAATAGTTTTATTCCATATACATCAAACCAGTGCTCTTCATATATAAGCATGAACAGAAGAAAGGGTAGTTTCTGCATTCAGCTTTGTTCCGTTTTAAAGGACAATGGTATTAGAAAAAACGAACTCCCAAGTGGGTTGTCTAACATGAAAGTGAGCCTAAGTCACTGAGATTAGCTGCTACCATATTTCCTTTAACTCCACTTTCTCTTTTATATTTCAAATAGGACGGAATAAGAATATGAAATTGAGTGGGCGACCATATCGGCACATCGGTGTCCTTGGAACCTCAAAACTCTATGTGATTAGGAACCAGATCTTTACCTTCACACCCCAGGTGAGAAGAGCTGGGCAGTTGTAAGACCATCAGCATTCTTTTATCCTCCTTTCTGTCTCATAAGCTTTTCTCCTTCTCTACAGCAGAATTATGCCCCTAAGGTTAATAGTCATGCCACCAGTCTGATTTCCAGACTCCAACTCCCTTATTGGGCTGTAGAATACACTAATTATGAAACTTCAGAAATTTTTGTTTCCGAAGAAAACTAGCCCATGGAAACATATACCAAATGTTTTTCCATCCATTAGGGTATCTACAAAGATTAACAGTGTGGTGGCTTTGCCAGTATGGGGTACGGCACGGGCCCTGCTTACTTGGGTACACAGTTGGCCATGGGGTCTTGGGTTAGTAGCCACGGTTTCTTTTTTCCATCCTGGCCCATGCTGCTCACTTAAGTCTTGTGAGTTATTTCCTTTAGTATCAAAGTTTAGTCCAGAGCTGAGTATGCACTAGTACAGAGCCCAGGAGACCAATTTGTCATCCTCATCAGGCAACAGCACCTTTAATTGACTTTCACCAGTCATCAGTCAGGTGAAGTCTTCACTTCTCACCTGCCCTGAGGGTCCTTACCTTCAAAGCCAGTAGCCCTGGAAACAATAGGATTTAAGGAGTAACTGATATGCTCTTAGGGACAGTAGTGTTGGACAAGGTGCTGAAAGCCTCATCCAAGGAGCTGAGAACAGAATGGCGGCGCTTCTGCACTAATGTAGCCATGGCTCCGAGGTGACAGGTTGGCAAGTGGCCCCCTCTCTGGGGTTAAACCCAGTGCTAAGTATCTTCCCTGGCAATAAAACTCTGGGAGAGATGCTGCCCTCAGTGGCAGCTGGTGTTCTGTGGAGATATGTGAAGAATGGCCCCTTTACCTGGCTTCCTCTGACTTCCAGTTCACTGACCAGCATCATTTCTACTTGGCTCTGGACAACGAGATGATCGTGGAGATGCTGAGGATCGAACTGGCCTATCTGTGCACTTGCTGGAGGATGACGGGCAGACCCACGCTCACTTTCCCTGTGACACACACCATGCTGAGTAACTTCTGGGATTATACCTGCTGGGTCATGCCCCACGGGTGGTTTGGGCCCCTTTCCAAATGTTTACAACTGCTCCCTTGGACAGAGCTGAGTACTAAAGGGGCTTCCTAGCAGTTTGATTTCTTACCTCAAGAGCCTTCTCTGCCATAAGGATTTTAATTAGACTGTGCTGATGAAAACATCTAGTATGTAGCTGAAAAAAAAGTATTCCCAGATTAAGTAAATTCATTCATCATTTTTTTTTCTTTAGCAAATGATGGCTCAGACATTCATTCAGCAGTTCTTTCTACAATTCGAAAACTAGAGGATGGATATTTTGGAGGAGCTAGGTAATTTATGATTTCTTTTTTTTTTTTAATGAGTATCATTGTCCTTTCTTAAAGTCTTTTGTTTCCATTCTTCCATTTTTTTCATATCAGTTGCTAAACCTAGAAACATGGAGTTTTAAAGCAAAAAGGAAGTTAACAGTTGAATCCCATATCCCATGTGAAACTTGAATCAGGTCTAAAACAGTATCCAACTGATATATGTTAAATAGCTTTCACAGATGCCACAAGGCCCTGGGACATAGAGAGGTGAACATGTCAGTCTCTCTGAAGTGGCCTCTTTTCTGGAGCACATGTATGAAGAGCTGTGTATGTTTCGTGGAAGAAAACACTCAGGGCCTGGGATCCTGCAGGTGCTCAATAATGCTTGACTTAAGGTGCCTTAGAAAACTTGACAAATTCCTTAGCAGGCCTTGGAGCAGAGGACCTGAATGGGCCTGCGTAATGCCACAGCCCCCGCCACCTGCTTCAGTAGAATGCAACCCATTTGGTCTACAGGTGTAAGAGTACCACAGCTACTCCTGGAGTGATAATGGTGCTGGCCCTCCACAAATCCCATCCTGTTTTGAGTGTCACAGGGCAGAGGATTTGTCTGTGCCTGCCTCTCCCTGAATCCCCTGGGATACACCAGAAGGCCTCCCACGAGAAACTCACTGTGCAGCCTGGATCAGACAGCCTTTCCTGGGCTCAGGGAGGCTTCGATTGGGTCCCTGAAGGAAGGCCAGTTGCTAAGAGTGTTTGGGAGGAGTTGAAGTCACCCCTTCTCATGTTCTTTTCTACTATCACAAAAAAGTCAGTTATTTTTAAATCTTGTAGTAGAATACACATTACCATCCAAACCATCCCTTTAAGTGTATAGTTCAGTAGTGTTAGGTTCATTCACATTGTTGTGTGACAGATCTCAAGAACTCTTCATCTTGCAGAACTGAAACTTATACCCATTAAACAGCTCCCCATTCTCCCTATCCCCCAACCCCCTGCCCTTGGTGATTGCCCTTCTACCTTGCGTCCCCATGAGTTTAGGTAGATGGCTCATACAAGTGGAATCATAAAGCATTTGTCTTTTGGTAACTGGCCTATTTCACCTAGCATAATGCCCTCAAAGTTCAGTCACTGTATTTCTAAGTCTGGCCTCAGGTGCCTCTGTCCACAGAGCTTGCTGCAGGTCTGCTGTTGTTTTCCATGTGAGCTCCTCCTGGCCCCTCTCTCTGTAGTGTCAGTGAGATGGTCTTCAGATGTCTACCGTTCCAGGGCTAGCGCCACAACTTCCATCTGCAACCACTCCTGAACATTTCACCTCTGGCTTGCGGAAGTTACCATCTGATGTGTGGCATCATGACTGAGAGAAAATACCATAGGCCCTCAATGAGCCATTTTAGAAAATATTTTATTGAAATGTGATGGAGGTAAAGAGAATATCATGTAGAGTCAAAGGAACATTTGAAGTGTGTTCATTGTGTTGTCACATTTAGTCTTCTGGGCTGAATTCCCATTTGAAAGACAAGGAACTTTCTCAGAGAGTGAGAGACACAATAGATGCAGAAGGCCTGCATCAACCCAGAGCCAGCCCCTAACCCCTGAGCAGAGGGCCTCCTGTTATAGCACACCATGAAGAGATCCACAGAAGAAACTGGAATGCCTAGGCTCCCTCAGCTATCTTTCCTATAAAGTTTGGTTTGGTTTTCTGGTGTTGGGACTTGAACCCAGGGCCTCTCAAGTGCTATACAAATGCTCTACCACTGAGCTATACCCCCTAACCCCTTACTTGGTTCTTGATAATTAAAGTTGAGTACCATTTGGGCTTTTCCTCCAGGCCTGAGGATCTTTTAAAGGCTAAACTGGATTCCACTCCCCTCCACTGAGCTATACCCCCTAACCCCTTACTTGGTTCTTGATAATTAAAGTTGAGTACCATTTGGGCTTTTCCTCCAGGCCTGAGGATCTTTTAAAGGCTAAACTGGATTCCACTCCCCTGAAACTACTTTGGGTAGCTTGCTACCAAAGCCTTTTTAAGTAACTGCCTTTCAGGCTTTGGGCTTTTAGCCTAATAAACACAACTCCTTTCACCTTCGTCAGGAAAAAAAAAAAACAAACTCTCCATTGCCCTTTCTCACTCCAGCCCACCTCCTCTTCCCCAATCCCAGGAGAATGATCCTTAGACATGGCCCCTTGGCTCTCCGGGGGAAAGTTGGGTTTTGTGGTCCCATCGAGGGCAGGCTTTTTACTTCCTTGACACCATTTGCTGGTAAGCTCACTCTCATTGCCTACTCCAGTCTACTCCTTAAACACATTCTCAGTAGCTATTTAAACTAAGTCCTCAGCTGTTTCTGCTAGCTTCAAAGGAAGGATCACATTGTGTCCTGCTTCTGGATCTGACATTTTAAGAATGTGTTTTACTGTACGGTGGGAATCCCACATGCTCTCAGCATCTGGGGACCGGCCTGCAGAACGTGGGGGCTGCTGCCTCTGTTGCAGGATCCTAGGCTGCCAAACCCAGCTCCTGGTTTTCAGTGAAACTTTTCCCAGCCTGATGTAATAAGGGCCCCTTGCGGTGTCTGCTTCAGTCTGGGAATGGCGGGTCCATCACATTCCTTCTAGAGAGAACTTCAGCTCCTAGATGTGCCTCTCCCATCATAACACCCCTGTGTGATCACATTTCATGGTAGGGACAATGCACCAGAATCATTGCTTCGGTTCCAGTAATTTTGAGGGTGGAGGGAATACGTTGGTTCTGGTTAAAAGTGGTTTGTTTGAATGTATTTTGTAAAATTTGTGGTTGGTTCGGTAAAATAGATTTCTGTCAGGTTTGAAATTAAGAAATCAGCATGATTCCTTTCACTTTTAATATGCTGTGTGCTTTCATTTTGTACTTGCTGTTGAATTTTTATTTTAATTTCTTGGCTGACTATATTGGGTGATCTGCTGATTATATTGATTGACTCTGGCTCAAGTGCCACCTGAGTGTTGAAAAGTCTTGCAGTGACTCATTGTGGAAGTTTGTCAACCATATCTTTAACATGGTGTCTTGTTGGCAGAGTAAAATTAGGGAACTTGTCGGAATTCCTCACCACGTCATTCTACACTTACCTGACCTTCCTGGATCCTGACGGTGATGAGAAGTTGTTTGATGACACCAGGGAAGAGAGCTTCAGTCCTGATAGTGACTCAGATCTGGGAGGATATTTGGAAGACACCTGTAGTCAAGGTACTGCATGAAATGCTTTGTTGAATTCATGTAAACCTTGGCACTATGTAAAGTTAACCCTGTGACTCAAGTACAGAAAATGATTAGCAATTAAGCTAGAAACAAACAAAAAACAAAGAAGCTTCTGAAACTTGTATGTAATAAAATGCCAGTTTAAAAACTTAACTGTAAATGATGCCCTTGAAAGTGAGGCTTTTTTTTAAACACCAGAGGGACACAGTTTCAGGTTTGAGGATTTTTCACTATATTTATATAATTTGCCTGTAGAAGCTCCAGGTACTTCTGAATTCATTTACATTGCTGCCTCTAATTTATTCCTTAATGGTTTCTTGTTTTCTCACAGCTAAGCTAAGCCCTAACCCAGAACAAACCCAGGGTCTTGCACAAACTAGGCAAGCGCTCTGTCACTGAGGTACACCACTGACCCCTCAAAGTATATTTTGAAGACAAAAATACATTGCTTGAATTTTCAAAGAAACTGCAGAACAATCTTGATTTGATTAGATGTGAGTAATGCAACCCCAAGTATATAACACTTTTCAAACTGAGCAAGATTTTGGGTCAAAGTGACCTGTTTTTTACTTTTAAATGTAGTTGGAGTTAGGGCTGAGAGTTCCATAAGGCTTAGCTTACTCTTGAAAAACTAAAAAGACCAGGCATTGTCTGCCACCCTTCAGGTTGTCTTACAGTTTCTGCAGCTCATCTTGGGATGAGGCAATGTTATATATAAAATCTTATTGCTCTGTGGGGGTGGATAGGATGCAAATAACTGGATCTAAATGCCTTCCACTAAATCCACTCCATGCTGCCTACTACACACAGTAGCTATTATACCGTTAGGGTATTTCTGCAGCTTGTTTTCATTTGCTCATTTTGCTTGTCAACTTACAGAAAACCAAGATGAACTTGATCAGTATATCAACCACCTAAAATCTTATTGCTCTGTGGGGGTGGATAGGATGCAAATAACTGGATCTAAATGCCTTCCACTAAATCCACTCCATGCTGCCTACTACACACAGTAGCTATTATACCGTTAGGGTATTTCTGCAGCTTGTTTTCATTTGCTCATTTTGCTTGTCAACTTACAGAAAACCAAGATGAACTTGATCAGTATATCAACCACCTTCTGCAAAGCACATCCTCAAGGTGTTACTTGCCCCCTCTCTGTAAGAAGATGGAAGACCCCCATGTTTTCAGTGCCATCCACTCCACTCGGGATATATTGTCTGTGATGGCAAAAGCAAAGGGTCTGGAAATTCCATGTATGTAATTAAACTCTCTTCTGCCTGCTAAAATACCTTTTTTATCAAAGTAGTAATACATAAACATAATTGAAAAGTCAAAGAATCCTAAAAGAACACCCCTCCCTTGATTCTTCTACTCAGAGGTTACCACTTTTAACTCTTAGCTCTTCTGACATTTACATAGCTCCACATTTCTAAAATAATGTGTGTATTCTTCTGTCCTTTGATGCATCAATCTGATCTTGTACCAATTAATTGATTTTCTGTTAAATGGTAAGGATTCAGCTATCTTAAATCATCACTCTATTTCATTTCCCTAATCCACTGGGAAGATGTATTAAAGTTTAGTTTTATCAGTACTCTTTATATTATTGTACATATGCCAAAATATTCTCAACTGAGCATTATAGTTTTCTATGATTATATTACCATTTTCACTTTTTCTAAAGTTAATAGTTGCCCTGTCTTTCTGTTTGCTTTCTTTCTACATCTTCCAACGGTTTACAATACAAGTTTCCACTAAGTCAATTGTATCAGTGAATCTCTTGATTCCACTAGTTGGAAGTTTGTGAGTCCCCATTCTGGGCCAGTTGCACTTTAGGCCCATTGTATCCTGTCATCCTGGGAATTTCCTTGGCTCATCTCTTTAGGCATTTTCTGACTCTGGTATGTTCCCTTTTTTTGATATATCCCTTTCTTTTGGTGGAGCAGAATATATTAGAATAGTCTCAGTAGGTTTTTAAAAATGGTACAATGGAACAGGGCATGGTAATAACAGCCCTCAACTTGCTTTTTTCTGAAGTTCCTTTCCCCTTCTAGCTTGGTTGTCCTCTGTGTTTGGGATGGTTTATTCTTCCTTCTTCATCATCATCAGGGAGAGTTCCTTGACATATCTTCTGGGTTGTAACTCCTATTTTCTGTATAATCAGTCTTCCTCTTTCTTCGTTTACTCTCTTATTTTGGTGGAAGACATTCAGTAGTTTCTTGAGAAATAGTGCAGGGTGGGTAACACTGTTGAGACCTAAGAGGTCTTAAAATATCTGCAAATATCCTATAGGCATTTGAGCATTTGGTTGGATACAGAATTCTAGGTTGAAAATACATTTTTTGCAAAGTTGACAGAGCATCACTTCATTGTCTTCTTGCTACTAGTATTGCTAATGAAACATTAAAGTCCCCTGTTATGGTTTAGACCAAGTCTGCCTCCCAAAAGCCTCATGTGCTTCAGGTGGGGCCTTTGGAAGGTGATTGAATCATGCGAGTGACACAGCTGATTTGCTGTTAGAAGGTGGGGACTGGTCGGAAGAGGTGGGTCACTGGGAGTATGACCTAGAAGGGTAGATAGGTCTCCTTCCTGGCACCTCTCTTCTTTCTCTGCTTCCTGGCCACCATGACAAGAGCAACTTTCCTCCACCCAGGCCCATCCACCGTGCCACTTCTATGTTTAACGCATTCACAACAGGCCGTAAAGCAGTTTGGTGGTTCAAGCCAATGGGAATGTGTTAAGCCTGCCAAACAGAAACTTCTGAAACATGAGCCAAAATAGACCTCTCCTTCCTTAAATTTTGGGTGTTGGGTACTGTGTCCCAGTGATGAGGAAGTAACTAAGACACCTGTTCTTATTTTTGATCTTTCAAATATAACCTGTTTTTCTCTTTGAAGGTTTTTAAGATCTTCTCTGCTTCCATGTTCTGATGTTTTAGTGATGTGCCTTGATTTGGCTGTTCCCCCCAACCTTCTGTCAGGTGAAGGCCTTTTCAATCTGGAAACGTATGATTTTCAATCCTGTAAAGTTTTTGGGAAAACTTACTTGACTCATTTCCTTCCTTAATTTTTCTTGTTCTCCCTTCCTGGTATTCCCATAGAAGTCTTTATCATTCTTGTGCTTCTTATATTTCTGACTGTTCTGAGTACAATTGCCTCAATTTAGGAGGTGTGATCACCAATATGGTGAATATTTAATTTTTTAAAAATGTATTATAGTGCGCTTGCTTTGGCAGCACATATACTAAAATTTTATTATAGTAAAATACAATGCTATTAATCCCCCTGAAAGTACTTCTCTTCAATTGATCATACTTATCTCATCCTTCTTGCCACTTTCTGAGGCTGTCGTGGAAGTCTTCTTTTGTGAGTGTCTGTAGTTGTCATGGCTGCCTCAATATCCTGAATTGACTCCACATGTTTACCTTTCATGGTCATTTTATTTGGGAAGAGTCAAAAGTCTCGCTGTGCTAGATCTGGTGAATAGGGTGGTAATATTTTTTTTTCAGCTTTAATTGAGTTTATTGGTACATTTTAGGGATACAGTACAGTTACATTCATTGTTGGGATCTTGTACCTCTACATGGCAAGTCTTGATTCTCATTTTTTCCCCTTACCTCTGCCCTCCCTTCACCCCCTCCTCCCTTCCCCATCTACATAGGGTGGTAATATTTTATAAGCCTGCCTTTTCCTTGGATGGCATTTGGCAGCAACATTCACCATATTTATTATCACACCTTGTACAGATACTCACAAAAGAGGACTTTCCAGAACTGCTTCAGTAAGTATGCTCAAAGAAGGGGGAACATTTTGAGAGAGACTGATGGCAATGTGTCTTTTACTATAATACATTTTAAAAATTTAAACGTTATGTATTTTTGTTCATCCTTACATTGTTCCGCCTCCTCAGTTGAGTTTTTTTACCTATCATGTTTTAAATCTTTATTACCAAATTATATCTGTTCTTATTTCATGCATACAATATAATTACTTACTATTCTAAGAACATAAATGCCAGGCTTTTGGTTTTGGATTGGTTGGTTGGCTTTATATGTGTTTTGTTGGTTGGGTTTATATTTTCTTCTCTTTGAATGGTTTCCATTTCCCCTAAGTCACTTTTTCTTTGATTAGGTTTCTGTCTTCCACCTCAAAGCCCTTCCTCCAGGGCTCCTGCAGGAGAATTTGCAAGCATATGGGTGGGGCTTTGGCCCCTGGGTTTCTGTGCATGACTGATCAGATTTCCCAGGGATACTTTACAGTTTTCTATTCATTCTCCTATTTGAAGGATAAGGGTCTGGTTGCCTGGATCTCTAGTTGCTTGGTCTTCCTAAGGAATGCATGTAGGCCTTCAGGTGTGCTGCTCAGCCCTCACCTAGACACCCTCCCTCTCTACCTTCTTCAGAGAGACCCTCTAGTCTTGTCAGTATGAGCAAGGTGGTCACCATGCCGTGTGCATTGGAGCATCTAGGAAGCTCATAGCTTCTCCCCATTCTTCCTTGTTTTGGTCACCCTTTCTGGACTTCCAGTTCCAGGGATACATAATGCAGCAAGTTCCTGGACTTCCGAGGATTCTCTTATGTAAATATGTCTGACTCTTACATTTTTGCACTACAGACTTGGGACTCCATTGCCCTGTGCCTGCTAAATCAGTTATCTTTCATCCACTGACTTTTTAACTTCTGCAATCTTGTTCTTATAATTTTCTTTTCTTTTTTTCCTTCTATTCTTGAGGATTTGTCTTTTTCTCTCATTGAGTTTATTGGTACATTTTAGGTATACAGTACAGTTACATTCATCATTGGGATCTTGTACCTTTACATGACAGGTCTTGGTTCTCATTTTTTCCCCTTATCCCTGCCCTCCCTTCACCCCATCCTCCTTTGAGGATTTGTCTTTTTAAAAAGAAATTACTTTCTGTGGTATTAGTGGGGATTTAGGTTGAAGTAAAATCACAATGTGTGTTCAGTAATTTAACCCAGAAGTTAAAACTTTTAAATATATATTAGCTTTACCTTAAAAACTTCCTGGTCTCCCTAGACAATGTGATATAGCCTGGAAGACAGAGATGGCTCAATGAATTAATATAGATGATAACATCCAAAGGTTGTTTTTAAAAAAAGGCCTAACACCTGACAGTCGAAGAGTGAAACAGATAGTGGACAGGAAACCTAGATATCTTCATTATGGAACCCTTGAAACCTTGGACAAATACATAGGCTACTCTCGCAAGGTCTCTGTTTCCTGATTGGTGGGGGGAGGTGCTCAATCTCCTCTAAGTCTCTCTAAAATCTTTAACCTGCTGCATAATTTCCCCTGAATTAATTAGGAAGGAAAATTGAAATTCCACTCTCAAATCAAAATTCACGTTCTCCCCATTTCTCATTTTCAGATTTAGTGTCTAATGTGGCCACATAATAAATCCTCATTGAAATTTGTTAAAATAAGTAATCTTTCCTTCCATTGATTTGTGTTAAAATAGCCACAAGTTCTGTCAAAAGAAGTACTACCTTAGTTCTTCCTCAGAAGAGCTCTTTATCTTGTATTCCAGTTGTTCCTATGACTTTGCCAACTAAAGTTTTAAGTGTCCACCGTAAATCACTGAACCTTGTTGATTCTCCTCAGCTGCTCCTAAAAAAGGTAAAGTATTTGGAATAGCTTTTTTTAAAAAAGTATAATGCTCCATAATGCTGGATTAGTCCCAAGAACTCGCTTAAATGGTAAAACTCAGTTTAGAAGCTCTGAGTTTGATGCGAATCCAGTCACTTAGTTGTCTGGAACCTGATTTGTATATTAAGTACGCTGAGATTAATGCAAACCTTTAAATTTTGACCATATGAGAAAGCTACTGCCTTTCTGCCTATTCATCAGAACCCAAGTAGCATTGGAGGAAATAAACTAGCTGCCCTCCCTGTCCTGTCCTATCTGAGTCAGCCAACTAAGACGATGACTCAGAGAATAAGGGTACAAGACTGTTCCTCAGACCAGAGGACAGAATAGATTCCTCAGGAGCATAAAGTCTCAGAGTGTTCCCTATTGGCTCTCATCATTTGTTATTTTATTCTGAAGTCTCCCCTGATTTTTTCCCACATGAATGAAAATATCCACAGCCAGTTGGAGAATATTTTAAGATAGCTTCAATTTTAGCTTGTGTAAAACATACATTTTGTGTTTATTTTGCTTTCAAAGGTACAAAAGTATAGACTGCAATGAATTGTCACTGAGCTAATATGCATGCATAAGTGGCCACCTGTATGCTCCCTCCCACTCACTTCCTTCTCCTGTAGTCCAAAGATAATGACTATCATGTTTGCTAACAGCGGAGGCTACTTTTGCCTGTTTTTGAACTTTGCATAAATAATCCCATGCAAATGTTGACCAAGACAGTTATTCACTAATCAAAACTGGTAAAAGCCTATAAATATAAAAGGTACAAATTATTGGCTTCAAAACTAGAGCCTACTACAGGGCCAGAGTTCAAGGAATAGGTTGGTGTTTTTCTTTTTTGATTATCTGAAAGTTTCCACATTCAGCCCCTCTCCCTGGTTTTGTTTGTTTGTTTTTTGAATTGTTTGTTTGTTTTTGGCTTTTATATGGCCAGGCACCTGAAGGTGACTTCCAGTGGCCCAGAGATAACCATGGTGACGTAGACTGTGAGAAGCTGGTTGAACAGCTGAAAGATTGTTCAAACCTACAAGACCAAGCCGACATTCTGTACATTCTTTATGTAATAAAGTAAGTGTCTTTGTTTGGGTTACAGTAACAACACACTATAAACCAGTATTTCTAAACAACAGAAATGTACTCCTCATTGTTCCGGGGTCTGGAAATCCAAGATCAAGGTGCCACTAGATCCTGTCTAGTGAAGGCCAGCTTTTGCATGGATGGCACCTTTTCACTGTGCCCCTATGTGGTTAAAGGGATATACTAGCTTCCTAGGGTCTCTTTTATGAGGACATTAAATCATGAGGGCACAGCCCCCATGATCTAATCACCTCCCAAAGGCCCCCACCTCCTAATATCACCTTGGAGGTTATAATTTTAACATAGGAATATACAGAGGGACGGACATTCAGTAAGTTTACAGCCTTTCTTGGTTCTCCTTAATCCATTCTCCTGTCTCTTGGCCTTCTAGCGACCCTGGGTCATGATTATATTCACCCAAATTACCCAGGATAGCCATGAATCAGCCTTCTCTCCCTTTCTCTGCCTACTGATGCTGACTTCTCAGAGTGAGAAGCCCAGGCAAAGGAGGCCAGGATCTCACAGTTTCTGGGTGCTAATCTTCTGTTTCAGAGGACATCAGGATACTTTGGTAGGATGGGACCCTCTCAGTGAGGCTTAGCGGCATTGTGAGTACCCGAGTGCCTTAACATTCTGGGCCATATCTCTGCATTTTTCTACCTCTTTACAGGGGTCCCAACTGGGACACTAATCTCTCTGGACAGCATGGTGTCACTGTTCACAATCTTCTCAGCGAGCTCTATGGGAAAGCTGGCCTGAATCAGGAATGGGGTCTGATTCGCTATATCTCAGGCCTGCTCAGGAAGAAGGTGGAGGTCCTAGCTGAGGTAAGAGTAACTGTGTTTGCTAGGTTGTCTGTTTGTCCTCCCTGATCCCATGCCCTCTTCCTCTTCAGTTATAGAAGAAGCTAGAGGCAAGTGCCTCTTACCTGTAGGGAAAATGGAATCCTAATTCAGCACTGGGACTGGCCCCCCTCTTCTGACCTCCTACTAGTGTGGGAAGGCAAGCAAGGAAGGAAATTCAAGTTGATGAGTGTGGTTTTTCTTAGCTACAGAAAAAGGCTTACCAAGATAGCAAATGAAAATGCTGTGTGGCCTGCCATCCTCTGAACTAAAGCTTTCTTATTTCTGCATATCTACAGTATAACGATGATTAATATTTATAACCCTGAGGCCTTGCAAAATCCAGACCCACTTTCTCTGACAAAGTTCAGGGTTCTGGTAAGGTGGTATTTATTATATGTGAATAATGAGGAAACTGGGAAATTAGGAATATGAAGTGGTTGGTCATTATCTTGTACCATCACTATGTGAGGATTCATCCCTGCCTTGTTGAACGTCAGGTGTTTGCTACAGTGGGTAGGCATTAAGTGCTTATTGGTGAGCCCTGCAGAACCAGGCTTGGAGCCATGCTTGGGAGATACAAAGATCAGGGGACCCACCCTTGCCTGGGTTGCTGCCTGGGATGTAGGTATGAATTTTTCAAAGGGCAATGAGGATCATAAAGTTTGTGAAGGTAAATATATGTTCTTATTGGCCACAGTAACTCCCAGTTGGCATTCCCTGATCCCTCACCCCACTTCTCTCACCAATCTTCATCCCCAACACATAGGCCTGTGCAGACCTGTTGTCCCACCAGAAGCAGCTCACAGTGGGCCTGCCACCTGAGCCCCGGGAGAAGACCATCTCTGCGTAAGTCTCTAGCCCCAGGACCTTAAGATTGTAGGAGAGTAATGGGCAAGCATCAGTGCTCTGCACTGTTCAGGGGGAGAGGCTGTTTAAAAACACAGTTACATAGGTACTTCTAGCACTGAAAATTAGGGATCTTCTACAGGGAGTGAGGAGGCTCTGCTCATGCTTGTGACCTGCTCCTTCCTAGGCCTCTTCCTCCGGAGGAGCTCACAAAACTCATCTATGAGGCCAGCGGGCAGGACATCAGCATCGCTGTTCTCACACAGGTCAGGGCTTGGCACAAAACGGGCTGAGCCACCACCTTCCTCAGAGAGGCACAGGGCCTCTTGGCTACCTAGCACGTGTCTGAAACCCCATCCTTGTGTGTGTCTGTATCAGGAGATTGTGGTTTACTTGGCCATGTACGTCAGGGCCCAGCCCAGCCTCTTTGTGGAGATGCTTAGACTCCGAATTGGACTGATCATTCAGGTGATGGCCACAGAGCTGGCACGGAGCTTGAACTGCTCAGGTGAGAAGCAAGAATGCTGGCAGCCACCACTGCCTAGCAAGGCCTCTGGCCACAAGGCCTTGCTATGAGGGGAAGCCCTGCTCAGGTATTCCTGACCCAGCTTCCAGTTCCTCAGGTGGGCTCAGGCCTCACCAGTTTCCCTCATTTAAAGGTAGCTTCCATCAGGCCAGCAACAGTCATGGAGCTCCTAAGTTAGGGCAGAGTACTAGTATGAACCTTTTTTGCATGTTATAGCCGAGCCCCTTACTCATGTCCTTGCTGTGAGATGTCATCACCCATTTAGTGATACTTTCACCGGAAAAGTCCCACCAATTAAAATATAAACATAAACTGCAAGGTACATCCCATCATCAGGGATAAGTACTGTGCAAAAAAGTATGTGTTTGGGAATTAAGCAAATACTATACCAATTAAACAACAGCATTTAGAGTCCCCTACAGATTGCTGCCTGTCAGCCCTGAAGCAACAGTGAGGTAATCCTGAGCAGGGAGACCTACTGCGCATCCTTTGTCACTCCCTCCCACCCAGGTACACTGGATTCTGTCTTCACTCCCCCGCCAGCCCTGTGTCTGGGACACTTAAAAGATGTTTATTTGTAGGAGAAGAAGCTTCTGAGAGTTTGATGAACCTCAGCCCTTTTGATATGAAGAATCTCCTGCACCATATTCTGAGTGGAAAAGAGTTTGGTGTGGAAAGAAGTGGTAAGTCAGTGCTCCAGTCACTCCCACAGGGAATGGCTCCCTTGCCATGCAGACCAGTAGCAGTACTGGTGATCTGGGACATCAGGAATATGTGATTGTATGGCTCCTGGTTTAACAGGATAAACAGAGGCCTAGACTTGAGGTTCCTGCTTTTAGGCCTTTGGGCCACCTTCGTAAGTTTGCTGGAAGAGCACTTCTTCCACAGGTTACAGTGACACATGGGCATGCCATCATGCCTCTATGCCCCGTGTCTCACATGACCATAATCACTGCAAGGTACTATCACTTGTGTACAAATGTTGCGGAGGTGACCTTGAGTGTCATGACGAAAGGATTGCCATTCAAATCATCCAAGTGGTCTGACCTTTGGTTTGAATAAAAGCATTCTCACAGGCCCCATGTTACCCTCCTTAGGCAAGGACAAAACCTCTCTATGTTTGCTTTCTCCCTGTATTAGTTTTTATCTGTACCAGAGCCCTGCTTAGAGTGCTGGGAATATAATCACCCAAATGCTAGCATGATTCTTGTTCTCAAATGCACCCTAATTATAATTGAAGCAATTATTATTTCTCCTCATAAAAAAGCCAAATGATTTGCAGACATATTGGTGAATTTATTTCATCAAGCCAAAGAATTGCACTGTGGGCTGTCATTCCTTTTATTTAATAAGAAAGACATAGAGTACTTTGTATTTTTCCTGAGTGTGTGCCAGCCACAGACAAAGACTGAATCAAGCAATCAGATGCATATTGGTGGCTTTTCTCCTTTCCTGAGGGAAGAGTGCTCAAGACCATTGTCCAAAGGTAATTTCAGTTCTTTCTCAGGCACAGGCCTTGAAATGTAAAAGTACAAGATAAATATTTAATGTGTTCTGCTCGTCATAATTGTGTACATGGTTTGATACAGATAATTATCATTAGGTATAAAGCTGTAAATACCAAACTAGGAACCAAATAATGTCATTTGAAAGCCAGAGATATGTCTAATTGCAAGTAAAGACAGAAGACATGCTGTCTTTTTGAAACATGCTACATCATTTCTTAATTATCCTTTGCAGTCATTCACTTTTTATAAACTAGGGAGCTCAGATAGGTTTAGAATTCTGACTAATCCTGAGATATCTGAGATAACCGTTTCTAGCAGTCACCCCCCAAACAGCCCTCCTGAACTTCCAGGACCCCTATTGGCATCTATTTTCTACCTCCCTGGTACCCTTCCTCTCCTCTTGGGCAGACTGCTGTGCCTCTTTGATGGGTCATTCCCACTCCATTCCCTTCTACTCCCCTGGCCTCTGTGGGGTTGGATAGGGAGTGACCTTTGAGCTAGGCCAGCAGAAAGGAGCAATGTGCTGCTGGCCCAGGAGTGGGAGGTGAGAGGAGTGGCCAGACCCTAATCAGTAGGGCTTTGGATGACATCAGGAGGATTGTTTGGGCTTTATCCTGAAAACAGAGGATTCCAAGTGGGCAATGACACTGTCATACATGCCCTTCTAGAATAATCCCTTGTGACCATACCCTAGAGGCTGGCCTCATGGGGTCAGGGGCAGGGGATAGGTGTCGAGTCCTGAAGCTGAAGTAACAGGTTGGAAGCAAATGAATGGTGGCCTGGTGCACTGGGAAGAGCCTCTTTGCCCCCCAGGCCACAGCAGTACCATGCCCCCGGCTCTCTCAGCACTCCCAGCAGGTTCCGTCTCCCTCTGCTACCTGCTTTACCCAGATGGCCTGGAGTGGGCTCTTCTCCCTATATCCATGCAGCAATAAATTCTGCTCCTGAGCTCTGTCATCCCTTGGTGCCACACATTCACATCTGCACTTAGTGCCCAGACAGAGCTTGGCATGGCCCCATCACCTGGCCCATGGCCTCAGGTGCCCCAGGCGCCAGCCCCTCAGTGAGCACCCAGGCACTTTTGTCATTTCTCCAGGGGTAGTTGGCATTTTGAGGACTGGGATGCTGGGGGAGAAGCCTAGCAAGGGTCGTATGGGTCCTGCCCATTGGTTATAATGAACTCTCTAGAAGAATACAAATAGGATTGGGTATGTGATTGAGCACCCATCCATTCATGAAATCAAATGTCATGCCATTCATTAAACATAGTCTGATAGACTATTTAACAGCATGGAAAGACATTCACAATATATTAAGTGCAAAAAGACAGGCCACATAGCTATACATATGTACATATTATATATGTACAATCTATATCTCAACATGTTTCTATATAAATATGTATGTGATAATTGGTTTATAAGGTAAAACTACATACAGAGCCAAAAAACTGGCAGCCTAATGACTAAAATGTTGATAGATGTTAGTTCCAGCTTCCTTAGTTAGGTGCTATCAGTTTTTAACAAGGAAGGAATGCTTTTGGAATCAATCAGTAAAGGGTTTTCTACCACTCTGCTTTGTGTGTACGGCTCAAGCGATGTTTACACTTTCACACAGCCCTTTGAGATGCATGTAAGCTTGTTGCAGGAAGCCAGCACTGGCCAAGGGCAGCAGGACCTCTTCTGATGCAGTTTCTGATCAAGTTGGGAAGCCAGGCATAGACCCACATAAACACATCGCCACATTTCCTCCTTCAGAGGGGTGCTGGATAGTCCCTAAAAACTGTGTGCATGTTTCCTCTCTAGTGCGCCCTATCCACTCCTCTACATCCAGCCCTGCCATCTCCATCCACGAAGTGGGACATACTGGGATCACCAAAACCGACAGGAGTGGCATCACCAGACTGAGGAGTGAGATGAAACAGGTAAGAATATTTTGGAGGTGGCAGCATCAGAAAGCGTGGAGAGAGGTGATTCTCCTGCCTGGACTCACCTCAGAAAGCCATCAGAACTCAGTACAGGAGGCTTTGGTTTGCTCTTTGCTGATATGAGGGCCCTTCTGCCCTCGGGTCTAAGTCCAACCCTATACCCAGATAGGTACTCCACAGCCAAGCACATGACCAATACCCACCCATCCCTAAAGTCAACATAATGTTACATGTGCATTCTAGAATACAACCTTGTCCATGTCTGCTTCTGTGCCATTTAAAAACTTGAGCTGTGCATAAAGAAATGGATGTTTCTCCATCAAATGTGTCTTTCAAATGAAATAGTGAAAAAGATCTGGAAATAGCCTGAAATAATCGTGATACCTGTATTCTCTACCTTCTACGGGTATCTTTTTCCTTTGTTCACTTTTAATTTACAATAAAAATCCTTTTCAACTGGTCCCACAGCACTGCAGCTCAACATCTTTTCACTCCTGATGTGCCAGGCGCTATGCATGATCTGTGGTTAGGAAACAAGAGTTTCCTTCTGAACGGTCTGACGGATCCACAGGGAGAAATGCTCTTGGATTTCCTAATCTATTTCAAATGCTGGTCATAATCCACGAGCTGGGTCTGTGTCTGTGTCTGTAAGGCACTAACAGTCACCCCTCAGGTGTAACGAGCAGGGCTCTGGATTATCAGGGGGTGACAGAAGTAGTAGGGTATCCTTGACTTAAAGCTGGGCTTTATTTTCTGACTTTTTTTTTAACTTTCAGATGACTAGGCGATTTAGTGCGGATGAACAGGTGAAACATCATTGCTTTGCTTTGTCCCTTACTATGTGCTTCATGTTCTTTCTGGCTTCGATGTGGAAAGTAAAGCTGTAAACCCAGAGTGTGAGTGTGAGTGCGAGTGCGAGTGCATGGAGGTATGGTGCTGCCCATCACAATGGCTCAAGCAGGCAACCTCTAGAAACAGAAAGACAGCAGGGCTCTATAGCAGGATAAATGACCTTGCTCTGTGCCTTTTATTTTAAAAAATCCATTTATCAAACTCTTGGGTTTTGTTAGGGTGCTTGGTAAAGGAGGTGATCTGGCTGTGCCTCTGAATTTCTGTTCAGAAAGAGAGAACCAAATAGGTAGAAATGTGCACAGTGAATAGATCAGTAAAAAAAAAAACAGGGCTATTCTTGGCCTGGGGGGATTTAACCCTGGAAGGAAGAAATTAAAGATACTGTCCTTTTATACCATCCCATGACATACTTCCTCCTCCTTCCTCTAGAAAATTGGATTCACTTATTGATTTTTAAGAGATGGGGTCTCTGTGTTGCCCAGGCTGGCCCCAGACTCCTAGCTCAAGCAATTCTGCTTTAGCCTTTTCAGTAGCTGGCACGACAGGCATGTGCCACCGTGCCTGGCTTTGAAGTCCCATTTCTAATGGCTTGATGTCTCTATGACCAGAAAAGCATAGAAGGAATATATGACATGTAAATGTAGTTTGCATATGTTGTCCAAGGGTAAAACATACACCATCTCTCATTCTAATTTATGCTTCTCCCAAGAACCGATTTTTCAAATGTCTTCCCTTACCAGCCACTCGGTGGCACCGTCCCTCTGGTTACCCACATCCCAACTGTCTGAGGGTGGGTGAATATGGATGGTTACTTCCGCCTCCATTTAACGTTGTCCTTGCATGTTACAGAGACAAAATGATCACCTTTCTTCTTTGATGGGTTTAGATTCAACTAGCTAACTTGTTTTGTATTTGAGCACTTGTGTGGAAATATATTATCCTCTGTTCAGAATATAATAGGTGCCATGACATTTTACATTTCTGCTCATTTTTGCAAGAACACCACGTATACAGGTATTCCCATGCAATGTAAGGGTTACAGTCTGGATTTGTAGACAAGGAAATATTTGTGTGGCCAAAAGTCAGCAGCCTGACCACATTCACACATTTAACAAATATGCATGGGCTGGGATACCCATCAGGTACCAGAGGTTAGTGATGGTTATGGGTATTTTGTTAATCTCAGATAGTCACAACTCACAGAAAATATTAGCGTTTCATGGCCAAGTTTGGGAAGTGGGTCCTAGCTTGATTAGGCACCCTGCACATGCAAATAGAACCTGGTGGCATTTACTATTTTTAAAACACGCTGTTGTGTTCCCCCCTTGACCTGGCTGTGCTGCTGAGACTCTAGCCCACCCTCTCCACACCTTCTTTCTGGGGCGCTTGTCATGCTTTCTGTGCCTTCTTGCTGCTGGCATCTCTTGTATGGAGAGATGTCACTGATGTCACTACACATGACTGAGTTGATTCTTTTTGTTTTGTAGTTCTTTTCTGTGGGCCAGGCCGCATCCAGCAGTGTGCATTCCTCCAAGTCTGCGGTAAACCTGCATCGTCATCACCCCCCTCCCTGCCTCCCCCTCCTTTGGTACCGTCTGAATCCTCTTGTAGCCCGGCTCATCCTCCCACCTCATCACTGACTTCTGGATTGGTTTGTGTGTGTGTGTGTGTGTGGTGCTGGGAATGGAACCCAGGCCTTTGCTCATGCTAGCCAAGCCCTGTAGCACTACACCCCCAGACTTCATCTCTGACTTCTAAGATTTGAGTGAGGTTTAAGGATTTGCAGCTGAGGCTGCAAGTCTCCTCCAACTGTAATTCTGAGATTCCACAGAGGCTTTCTTTTCTGTCTGGAGCTCTATTCTCTGCTTATGCTCCTTGGTGCACCAGATGAGGTGGTTCTCACCAATTTTCAGGAGTTTCTGGAACCTGTGGGACATGTTGACCAGCACTTCACACCCACCATGGCCCAGCTTGGTGTGAGGCCCCGACACAAGTAAAAGCTTAGGAAGTGTTCTAATCGCCGAGGCGACAAGTTTGAGTCTGCCTCCCAAAGCCAGAAGGGGAAAATCTGCTGAGTCATTGATGAGCGCTCACTGTAATTACTATTATTTGTAGCTAATTGTCACCTTGTTTAAATGGCAGTATTGAGCCCAACAGAATAACCCAGCCTAACTGCATTTTCAACGTAAGATCTGTTGAAATCAAAATGAGTAGATGGAGAAGAATCTCACCTCTTGAATTGCTAGGATACTTAATATTTGAAATTTATTTGTAAACCTTCAGATTTGATGTTGCACATTGAGAAGCAAAGGTGCCAAATAGTCCAGAATCAGAGGCATGTGTAAGGATGCAGGTCATCCCTGCCTCAGACTGCAGGCCAAGGGCCTAGAATCCATCAGGGGAGGAAAGCAGGCTGTGAGCTTTGCTCCAGCAAAGGGATGTGGGATGCACATACCAGGGGAGCCTCATTTCCAGTTCTGGCTCTAGGCTCCTGTGGAAGCTGCTCCAAGCCATCTCTAGGTTGCCCTCAAGAAGCCAGGAGTCTAGCCTCAGAAGAGGAGGCAGGAAGTGACACCTTCCTCCCGAGTCAGCAGAGCCTGTCCCTGCTCAGAGTTTCAGTGGCCCCACCTTATGAGGCCCAGGGCAAGAGCAGGAACACACAAAGCAAGATTGATAAGCATGGTTGGCAATACCAAAATCTCCAAGGTCCCCTCTTCTGAGTGAGGATTCTGAGCCTTGACGTTTTGTTTTTGTCTTGGGTCCTTCCTCTCTGTATTAAGTGTGGCATTCACCCTGTGGGGAGGTACCTGTCCCTTTCTGTTGTACTGGTGAGGTGGGTACTTTGGCATCTGTCCCCACTGGGGTGTGGGCCTGCAAGGCTCACCTGCTCTGAGGACCAGTCTCTCCTGAGGCCCTACTTCCCTTACCGTGAACAGGCTTCACATGCCGGGCCAGTGTCTTCCGCGGGAACAGCCCTCAACACAGGCCAGACAGGCTCAGGTGCTCCTGTGTCTTCATTTGGTGCCTGCCCACACACAGCTCCCTGAGAGAGACCACTGTGGCCCCTTCATGCACATGTGATGGGGTGGCAGTTTATGCTGCGTAGGGCCCCCACAGCTGGTGTAGAACTGAAGTTGGTCTCACAGTGGCCTGACTGTAGAGTCCATACCTGCCCCTGCTGGCCTCCACCCCAGCAATACAGGGTCCTCTGGGTGCTGTCCTGCCTCTTGGGGGCTGGAAGGGGCTAAGCAACCAAACCAGAGAGCATCATTAAGCAGAGGACAAGATGGAATTAAGGAACCATGTTCCTCCCCAGTGAGTGGAATCCAAATCTTTGACAAGTTCCCTGAGCTAGCCTTCATGCTGGTGAGCTTTCCCCCGTTGCCCACTGGGTGGGCCTTGGGCCTTCTGAAGGCCACATACTGAAGGCCATGTACTGTCTCGCAGAGGTCCAGCACCCCATCGTCACCCACGGGCACATCCTCGTCAGACTCAGGAGGATACCACATGAGCTGGGGGGAGCGACAAGGCCAGTGGCTGCGCAGGAGAAGGCTGGATGGAGCCATCAACCGGGTCCCTGTGGGCTTCTACCAGAAGGTGTGGAAGATCCTCCAGAAGGTAAGCTTGCAATAGGCCGCACTTGGTACACAGTGCAGTGGCACTGGCAGGTATAAAATAGCCGATGGCTGTGGAACAAGCACACATATACTCCGACCTTTAGTGGCTTACAACCTAGCATGGGGCTTCTCCACTTCGGGACTACTTCTCCACCTTGGCACTGCTGCTAATTGGGCCAAGCCTTCTCTGCTGTGGTGGCTGTCGCATACACTGTGGGATGTTTAGCAGTGTCCCCGAACTCTGCTAATTGCCAATAGCATCTCCTGCCCCAGGCACAGTGCCAAAAGTAGCTCCAGACATTGCCAAGTGTTGTCTGCAAGGCTAATCTATTCTGGTTGAGAGCCACTGGCTAGAACCACAGCAAGAAAGACAAAATGGCTGCCCATGTTATATGGGACCAACTTTGACATATTTTAGGAATGTAGAAAAGTCAGAAGATAGACAAGAACTGGAGGCGGCAGGAAAAGCCTTGGATGAAAATGCTGTACCTTAGTCAACCCAGAGCAGCCTTCGCAGGCCTCTGCCCTGGAATGATGATTCAGGAGAGGTCTGGGTAGGGCTAGCACTCCGCTTGCTTCATGTTCAGTCAGACATGGAGTTGGAGCAGTTCACCAGGGGATAGAGCCTCTGCTGTCTGCTGCACACTGCTTAGGCCCTGAGGGCACACAGAAAGGAGAGCTTCCAGTCTGGCCCCAGGCCCAATGTGCCCTGAAAATAGACCCTCCCTTACTCCCTGAGCTGCCTGTGCGTCCTTGGAGGACAGAGACCTCACTGCCCCCTACCCTTAGCCAGCTGCCCACTACTCCTGTGGCCATCTGCCAGGGGTCTAAAATCTCCCCAGAGGTCACCTTTGGAAACAGCCACACCCTGCATCTGAAGGCGGGAGAGCCTGCTGTGAAGGAAGGAGCAGTGTAGGAAGATGGCCCCTTTGTTCTCTGCAGCCCACCATCCACAGCCTCCCACCTCAGTCCAGGGCATTTGTGCGGCCTCTTGGCCCCACCAGAGCTTGACCTGCCTCTCCCACAGAGGGACAGTGTGCCTTAGCAAAATGCTTCTTTGCAAACCGAGAGAGCTTTTTTTTTCCCTAAATGATTTCTTTTTAGCTCATTTCACAGTAGGAGAGCAGAGAACAATGCAGTAATCCTAAATGAGAGCACTCTCCAGCCCCCTCTGCAAGGCACAATTTGGCCTGCTGTTTGTGCAGCAGGCATCCCTAGCTAGTCAAGGAGCTTTGGCCTCTGGGTTTTGTGATCAGCTGTAAAGCAGGTGCGAGGTGGTCAGAGTGGTCCCTGTTCATGCACAGCTGGACTCCAGTACCCTTTGGAGCAGATCATACAGTAGTCCCTGGTCCACCACTCCCGCCTCCTTTCAGGAGCCCTGAGCCTTGGGTAAAGGCAGGCAGCTGCTGCTGGTCAGGGTTGGGACTTTGAAGGTGGTCAATTAGACCAAGACCAACTGTTCCTAGAAAATTTCCCGCTCTTCCTGGGGCATCACACACTTCCACCCAGACATCCATTGGCACAATGCCAAGACACTTTTATTATGAAAAAGCATTTTGTATTGAGCCCGCTTGATATTTATATACACGGGTATGCGTGTGCGTGTCTGTGCATGTGCTCGAGTCTTTTGTGATTGGTGCTTATTATAGAAATCTCGAAAATAGACGCCTGCAAAGGCACAGAAGCATCACTTCACCAGCAGGAGCCATGAAAAATCTCCCTTCATTATAGCACCAAAGGGGGCCTGGCAGGCGGCAAGGCCTGGTTGCCAAGTGAAACGTGGAGCCTCCAGGGAGAAGGATGCGGCAGCTCCCAAGGGCATCGTTTCTGTTCGATCTGAAGGATGCCTACTGGTTTCCCTAGAATTGTTCCATCGAAAACACAGCCGGTGGGCAGTGAGAACAGGGCTCTAAAAATAAGTGACAGTCTGGCGTGTTCCAGCCCGTGTGCAGATTTCCAGGGCAGGGAGAACTGTGTGTGCACAAGTGTGCGTGTGTGTGTGAGCACACATGTACTCGTTAGCATCGTCTGGAATTTGATATGTCTATATTCTTCCTCCAGTGCCATGGCCTCTCCATCGACGGTTTTGTCCTTCCATCCTCAACCACCCGAGAGGTATGGTGAGAAAACCCCACTGTCAACCCCTCTGGGTTTGTCTCACGGACCCTGGCCACTCGTGCCTGTTCTATAGCCACATACCCTGGTACCAGAAAAAAAATCAGTTGGACTTCTGAGTGTTTCGGACGCTTCAACCTTAAATTGTGCAGTTTCTTTCTTGTCACCTTTTCTCTCTCCTTCCCCTCAGAAACAGCATTTCTGGGCTATCAAGCTGTTCAGATTAGCCCAAGACTCTTGAAAAGCCCTGCCAAGCTGCCCTCCCCCCACATACTCATCAGACACATATGCCGCCTCCTTGGGCCTCTCTTCTCCAGCTACAAGCAGTGATCTTCCCTGGCTTATCCCTCCCCTGCCCCAGCCCATGCACATTTAAAAATGGATTTTTAGTTGTTTTACTTTGCCCAAGGCACCATGCTTTACGCCACTGGGAGTGATGAGAAGAGAAATAAGTGATCCCCACCCACTTCCTGGAGGTTACAGTCCAGTGTGTATACAAAGAAGGCCCAGGACAAGGCTGAGCACTCGGGCTCCTATTCCAGAGGGTTCCCATGTAGATTTGGGCCAGTGGCCTAAAGGAGGCGACATCAGAGTTGAGCCCTGGTAGTGTTGGGGGAAGCACTGATTATAGGGCTGTGTCTGTCTGATCTCTTACTGCTGACTACCTGCTGCTCCCTTTGGCAGATGACCCCACAGGAGATCAAGTTTGCTGTCCATGTGGAGTCAGTGCTGAACCGTGTGCCTCAGCCTGAGTACCGGCAGCTGCTGGTGGAAGCCATCATGGTGCTGACGCTGCTCTCAGACACGGAGATGGACAGCATTGGGGGCATCATCCATGTGGACCAGATTGTGCAGATGGCCAATCAGCTGTTCCTACAGGACCAGGTGGGGGTGCCCAGGCCGCCTACTCCCCCCACAGCTGAGGCAGGGAAGCCAGCTTGGCTGGCATTTATCTCTGTTGAGGCTGGAGGTTCTGTGTCCAATAGGAAGACATACACTCAAAGAAAATGTCATCACAGATGGTGAAAAAATGTCAACCATTTGGTTAGGAAATGGCACAATGGCCATTTGTGAAATCTAAAGACCTTTGGGTATGGACAGGTCTAGGTCAATTGAAGCTTTATTCCACATACCACCCCAGGGCTGGGGATGCAGCTCAATGGCGCCATGCCTGCTCTGCAAGCTTAAGATCCTTAGTTCAACCAAGACCTGTCATGTAAAGGTACAAGATGCCAATAATGAATGTAATTGTACTGTATACCTAAAATGTGCCAATAAACTCAATTAAAAAAAAGATCCTCAGTTCGAGCCCTGGTACCAGAAAAACAACAACAACAAAACTCCACATACCACCCCTTGCTACACACATGGCCCTGGGTGAACCATGTACCTTATACACAAAACCAAGTCAGGCGAAGAAGCTGTGCTCTGTGAGAACACTGTACAGGGCCCTGAGCAGGGCAGAATGTTTCCCTAAGTAACATGGCTTCCCACTGTGGGGCCAAGTCTCCGGCCCCTGGCAACCATTCCGCACTCCCCTGACCTCTCTCATGACATGCAGAATCATGAAGGGTGGGGAGTGGGATGACTCTGATCATTTTCTCTTTCTCTTTCTCTTTTCCTGTTGCAGGTGTCAGCTGGAACCACAGACATCCTGGAGCATGACCAAGCCACGGGAATTTGCCACTTCTTTTATGACAGTGCTCCAAGTGGGGCTTATGGGACAATGACTTATCTAACAAAAGCAGTGGCTTCTCATCTGCAAGAACTGCTGCCTAGTTCAGGCTGCCAGACTCAATAGGGCCTCACCAGTAACCATGACTGCGACCACCCTCTGAATCTGTCATGTGCTCCCAGCTTCACCAGGAACTTTTTTCCATCTTCCAAGATGCCCTATGCTTTCATAAAATCATTTTGCTACATCCCTTCAGGAACATTCACAGAGCCATGGCAGCACTCGACTGCAACCACTGCATGTTTAAGCCACCGATAGAGCTGATGACTCTTGTGTTCCCCACCTAGGAAGTCCCTGGGGTCACTTCTTAGGTTCATTTTCCTGGAACATGTCATCACAGCATCTGGTCTCTTGGACTCTGAGAAGGAAATGGAAACTGGTCTCTTCTGGGCGCAGAGTGAACTGCAACTGCAGCTTAAATTGGCTCTCACAGAGTTACAGAAATAGGTTCCATGAGCTAGTGCCACATTTTAAAGATCCTTCCAGTAGCAACGACTAGATAAGCAAGCCTTGACAAGGGAACATCTTAATAGGATGCAGCCTATCTGGGGACCACAATGTTTACCAAATAGAACAATTCTGAATTTCTGTGGAATTTCGGTTATGCCTTGCATGCATTTTTAGCCTCTTGTTCTATTGGTGTGGCTGCTTTCATGTAACATAATTTTCTGTTGCCAACATATACAAAGCTAGTTAATGTTGGCTCAAGGATTATATTCTGGCTGCCCATGAGTTAGGGGCTTGTCTTGCCTTATTAAAAACCCTACATCTGGGCTGGGGATTTGGTTCAGTGGTTCCACCGCCTGCCTCACACGTGCGAGGGCCAGAGTTCGATCCCTGGTACCCCCCCAAAAAAAAATCCTACATCTTCCAGAATCTAAGGAAAAAAGCGGGGAGGTAACTTTTCTTATAGCCAAGCAAATTTGTTTTGGGGCTGGAGCAGGTAGGGGTTCTCCTGGAAAGGCCTAGGTCCCACCTCCCTGGCCTTAGGGGAACTGTCACGTGATCAGTATGAGTCAGTAGATGCCATGAAAATGAGTGATGTGTTCCTGCAGAAACAATGCTTCCCTCTGAAACAGAGCCAGGCTGGAAACCTGAACCTCTTTCACAGAAGTGCTGCATCCTCGTGCTCTCAGCTCAGTTGGTTTCAGGCACTGACAGCAGAGAAGACAGATATGACAGGGTCTGGCGAATCTTTTGCCAGTGTCCTGGGGAGTCGAGTTTCTCTGCAGGTGTCATCTTCCTGTGGGGAAGCAGGGAGGTAGATAAACGAGAGACAGAGAACGATTTCCGTAAATAACAAACCTTGACAGTCACCTGGTGGCCAAATGGTACACTCTCGGGTTGAAAATGATGGGTTAGATTCACAGTGACTCTGCCTCTCAAGTGGAAACGAGGCTACTAGATCTATTCCTTGAAGTTTTTATGAAGAAGGAGAAGAGAAGACAAGGCTGCATCTGTTTTTGAGGGGACACAGCAAGGCCCAGTGTCTCTCACAGTCCAGGTGCAGTATGGCAGTCGTTTTCAAAGCAGAGGAAAGAGGGCGGCCTCATGCTCCTGACTGCCTCCTGCTCCAGAGTGTCCAGCCCAAGCTGGATATTTGGGGCTCGTTCCTGGGCGAGGCCATGGAGACAACAGCAGTCTGGGCATGGCAGGCACTGCTCCTGTGGGCCTTCATGGTTTAGTTTCCATTTCTTCCAAACAACACTACTCTCCTTGCTGAGGTATAGAGCAGTCACATAAAGAAAGCACCCTGGAATCTCTCTCCTTATTGTCATAAGGGACTTATGCATTCTTCCCCCCTCTTTCCCCAGACAAAGGGGCAGAGACCAGGGGGGCAGCCAGCCTGCCTCCTGCAGTGCCCCTCACCTTCCTCTTCACTCCCTGTCCTGAAAAGGATGAGGTTGCCACTCAGGGAGCCATGGTGGCAGGAACACTGGAAGGAGACAGAGGGCAACAGCCACTGAACAGGCTGTGTGCTGCCATTTGCCTGAGCTCCACAGGTCACAGTATCCCAGGTTGCTTTTTTTTTTTTTTTTTT